ATACAATCTTTATTTGCAAAAAAAAAAAAAAAAAAAAAAGGGGGGGGGGGCTCAGATCTGTAAAGCATCAGGCAGAGATAAACCCGGGACACCGCCATGGCTGCAACGCAACAGTTGCACGGAAAGCGCCATCCGCGCGCTGCCAGGCCAAGATACGGGTCGGGTCGAATCCCATCCAGATCTAATCAGTTCAGGAGGACAAATTTGTAATCATCGCACCCCTTAAAACCGTATCGCCGCTCAGTTATCGACTGCCGCCGCCCGCAACGGCGCACAACCGTCGCATACCAGATTATGTATGTGTGTATGCAAACACAGATGTGAGATGCATAACAACACAGAGATCAATAGAGAGAGAGTATAGTATAGCAGCAGAAGCAGCGAGGATTGCAGATCTCGTTCTTTCAAACAAAAAAAGGGGGAAAAGACAGAAAAAGAGAGCGTTGGGAGAGAGTTGTTGTTGGTGGATGCAGGGGGGAAAGGTAGAAATCATGGGGTTGCAGAGAGAGAGGGCAACCACTCTCTCGAGAAACTCCAATCCCTCCCTGATGCACAAGTTTCTTCACCTCCCTCCCAAAGAGCAACTAATTTGCCCTTTCCCCTCTTTATATTCGATTGGCAGAAGCAGGTTGAAACTTGAAAAAGTTTGGTGCACAATATCAATTTTATTTACTTTTTCACATGATTTTTTTATTTGAAAAAAATAAATATTTATTTAAATAGTAAAGAAATATTTGGTCTGTCCCCTGAGTGTTTGTCCACTTTTGACTTTTGGAACTGTTCATCTAAGCATTTTGACTCATCAAATTCTCTCAATGTGTAAGCCTAAAAATAGATTCATCTTAACATATAGATTATTAATATATAATTTTTTAATATACAAATGAAAGTGGACAAACACTCAAGGACGGATGGAGTATTTATTTTGCTCGTATTTTATCCATGGTGAATTTTAGGCCCACCATAGAATTTGCTCTGCTTGAAATGCATCAAAATTTGTTCTATTAATTTGACAAAAAACTAAATTTTGTTTATTTTATCAAATTTTAATAAAATCCTTTAATTTTTTAAAGAATTGAAACTTTCAAAACTAACGTCTAAAAAGACATAGTGTACTTCGAAATATAATGCCACACATTATAAGGATCTCAGAGTATATTTAAAAAATTGATGGGCATTTCCAATCTCGATAGATCAACACTTCTGCACCACCAGATGCAACACTTTGGAAGGTTTGAATAATGATGGTTGTCCGAAATATGGTTTGGAAGGCGGCTAATGGAATTCTACCTTATCGAAGTAACCTGATTGCGGGGAAGATTAAGATCCCATATATCTATCCTATGTGTAAGTGTAACATGGCGTGGGAGAACACACTGCATCTCGTGGTCACTTGAACATATGCAAAGAATGTTTTGGGAGCTTCATATTTTAATTGGTTTATTCCGCAGCGATTCGTTCCAAGCTTGGATTTTTATTTGTGCTATCTCCCTCTTCAACATGACCAAGCATTGGCCTTGCACTTGCTTTGGAGTTTATGGAAGGCAATGAATGTTCAAGTTTGGAGAGGGGAGGTCGTGTCACCATTGGCTGCGTGGACTCAAGCCTCTACTAGTTTCGAAGCTTGGTGGGAGGTGGGAAAAATACAACACAAAGTGCACGCATAGCAACAACAACTTGGGAGAAGCCGTCCCATACTCCCATGGGTACATCAAGATTAATGTGGGTGCCTTGATGGGGTTAGTCAATGGAGTCTCTGGCTTCCGTTTTATTGCTCGAGATGATCGAGGGACCTTGTTGCAGCATGAAATCTATGTTGTAGAGGATATTTTGGACATAGAGAAGCAAAATTAATTACAGTAAAGAAGGCTTTAACCTTGATCAAGGATAAAGATTTGACGCATATAGTTGCGGAAACAGATTGTAAGGAAGTGGTTGATGTCTTTAAAAATTCTACCAATGACTCGTCTTATTTTTATTCTATTAATAATGTTTGTAAGTGTCTTTAATCTCTTTGTGATAGAGGCCTTAAGTTTCAATTTACTTTCCGCTCTGCCGATGTTAGTGCTCATGTGTTAGATAGCTCGAGCTGCACATCCCTCTGAGAGCGTGGGGGAGTGGATTGACTCACCGCCACATTTTCTCACAAACATCTATTTAATTTAATATAATGGTTTATTTAAAAAAAGTATTACCATTCTCCATCTTCTTGAGTTTTTGTTCTTTCCATATAAGTATTGCTCATTGAGGACAATGGCCCCAGTCAAATTTCCCTCTTTATGTAAGAAAATTTAAAATTTAGGGTTAGTACGGAGTATATATTTGCTACCCTCACTCAGAAAATTAAATCTTATTCCGCACGGTAAATCGACATTAGGCACAAAATATTTTGTGTTTGTATTTTTTTTAATTAAATTGTATTCCCTAAATTTTAATTTATATCATTTGTTTTCATTTACGATAACTTGATATTTTTAAAAAATGATAATGAACTAAAATTATAATGAGAACGCAACAAATGTTTAAAAAGAATCTGAAAACAAAAGATTTAAAACATAGAACAACAACTCAATAGAACCCCGCAAAAGTAGGATCTAGAAAATATTTAAAATATGATAATTTAATTAAGTTAGTATCCACTTTATAAATTACTTGTATATTTTTATATTTTGGAAAACTTTATTTTAATTATTTGAATACACTCTTGATTTCATTTTTTTATCATTTCAAATTATCTTTAAAAATAATTTCATCCTTCTTTTTTTGTTTAATTATGCATTCAGTCATTAATTTGTCTGGATCTGTGGCATAAGCCTCTGTTCAATTTGAAAAAATAATACAAGTACTATGAGATAAAATAAAATGCATAATCTATTGTCAAGTCAAAATGTCAAATAACTGATAAAATCATATGTACATGAAATATGATGAATAACTCCATTAATAATATTATACATTGATTAAAAAACTAATTTGCAATCTGCCCAAAAAATTCAAGCCTGAAAGACTAATGTAGAAAAACTTAAAAAAATACTAGTTTTGCAAATTAGGAATGATGGATAAAAAAAGGAAATGATAGAATAAAATAATAATTTGAAATGATAATAGAATAAAATTAAATAGGTTTTTGTTAAGGCATCGCTTGGTACACAGAATTCAAATTGTGGAATTTGAATTGAGTGCTTCAATTCCAATCCTGGTGTTTGATAATACAAAAATTATGTGGATTTAGAATTGGTAGTGCAAAAAATGAATTGGAATTGATGAATTCAAAGAATTTCAATTCAAATTCCATTAATTCCGTATGCCAAACGAACCCAAAGGAAAAATAAACCCATAAAAGAAAGCAAAATATGGAACAAATATTATTTCCAAACAAAATCCAAATGAATTGTTTTCCAAATTTTTTTGAGTTGCACAAAGAATAATTACAGCTAAAGAGAATCTTACTCTATACAAAGCAAAAAGAAGCTGCTACAGTGTTCCCGCCAAAAGACTGTAGCACAGTACTGGATTGCATAGTGTTGGGCCTATATAAACAAGATTCGGCCCACACTAATATAATAAACCCAATATAAAAAACCCTAATCCACAACACAGCCTCACTTCGCAGCTATAAATACATCAAAAAACAATGAAAAAATAAATTAGATTTTCAGCCAATTACAATCTTCCAATACTATATCCTGTAGCTTTTCCTTCATCCAAATCAATGGCAGCTCCAAGTGACTGGTGCTTCCTCAGAAATGTAAACACCAAGACAAAACAATGTGCAATTAAAGTTCGTGTAGTTCGAGCATACCGATGTCCTCCACATGCTTCTCGCAGAGAAACTTTAGAGATTCTTTTTCACGACCAGCAGGTTTTTTTAGATTTTCAGTTCAATATATTTAAATGTTTGTATGAACATATATATAAATATTAAAGTTTATTTTAACAGATACATATATAAATATTTCTCTAAATGTATATATAAATATAAATATACATATATATATATACACACACACACAGAGAGAGATATATATATATATACACGTGATTATTCAAAGAGCAAAATATAAAAACTATAAATGTAAATATAAATAAATATAGTTATATGTATACACCTAAATATACGAAATATATTTAAGTGTAGAGATACATATATGTATATATTACTCTAAATGTATATATAAATAAATATATAATATATATTAATATATATATATATATATATATATATATATATATATTATATATACGTGAATATTCAAAACGTCATGTCTGCTTCAACGGTGCTGCATCCCGTAGCGCCACGCCAGTATACATTGAATTCTTTGTAACCTCAAAACGCCAGTTATACCCTGAAAATAACAACATATCAATCACTGTACCAGAATTGGCGCATGCTCTATATAACAGCCTGAGGACATTTTTAAAAGTTCACAGTTCATGAAGAATTTGCATTACTACTATGTTCACACACCCACCCACACAGTCGTATTATTGAAAACAAACTTCAAGTTCATTTTATAATACTAAACATATACATATATCAGGGAACACGTATGCATGCACAGATTCCACAATATCTTATTTCAAAATATGACCCACTGTTGAGAGAAGAGAGAGTTTACAAAATACGTGACTTCACTGTGGAGGCAAATTTTCAACCCTTGAAAACGGCTGNTAAACGCATTGCATTTTTTTGGCTACCTTATGAGTACTTTTTTGTAGATGCCATTGGACGAGTAGTGGCCTGTTCAGAACAAAAAATGAGAATTGTTAATGGGGAGGTGAAAAACGTCATGGATATTACTCTAGAAGACAACGAGTATGAGAGTTCAAATATTCATTATTCTTACGAATAAGCTTTTTGTGATAAAGACTGACAATTTGCATCTAAATGACAGGGGTTTCCAACTCCGATGCACATTATGGGGAGAATATGTGGCGCAGATGGTGGATCAAGTTGGATTGGGTTTGAATGAACCATTAATTGTACTTATTCAATTGTGCAGGGTCAAGCCATATCTAGGTATGGACTATGTATTACAAACATCTTACTTAATGTTACCAGTAAAATATGGTTGAAAACTCATTATCTAATAGTATTGTATACTCCCAGGTGAGATGTGCATTTCAACGGCATTTCACGCAACAAGGTTGATTTTTGACAATGAAAATGCTTTCATTCGAGATTTTAAAAACAAGTATGTGTAAAGAATATGAGTGTACATAAAAACAGCATATCACTTATAAGTGTAATTGTATATAAGAACCAAAACTCTTTTTATATTTGCACTATATCATAATTACTTTGTAGGATGAAGACATCAACTGGCAGTATAACTTTGAGCTGTGGGAATTCTCAAAGCCAGTCAGAGAGCAGCATGTCTCTGGAAATACAAAGTGGTAGATTGGAAGTATTAAGCATTGAGGAATTACTTTCAAGAAATGAAGTAAGATTATACAAACAGTTTGGATAATATTGTTATCTTGCAATCGAAAAAGAACAATACATTGGAATGACAAGCATTGTAGAATGAATACTTATCAAAAAAATGTATCTACATATAACAGGCAGGGCATTACTGGATTTTGGCTACGATTGTGGATATCAAAAATTACAAGAATTGGTTTTACTTGGGCTGTGCATCATGCACCAAAAAGGTCAATAAAGAGGAATCATGATTTCGTTGTTCTGGGTGTAACAAGATAACAGCAGAAGGAAACTACAGGTTTGGATGATTCTTAAATTTTTAGTATCTCTGACCTTAAAACAAAGCAACATATTATAATGAGTTGATCCATACTTATAGGTATAGGATCAATGTGTTGGTTATGGACCCTACCGACTACACCACCATAACACTTTGGGATAGAGAATGCACCGACTTCTATGAAGGTCGACAAGTGGAATGAGAGACCTCATGGCTGAGGTATAGATACCTAAACATATTTTGTATAAATACTTTGTATATACTGTAAGCATTAAACTTGAAGAACATTAAAAACATTGAATTTTTTTTACAGCGTACGGGAAACGCAGATTCCTTCCCATTGCCAGAAATTGAGAGTTTGATCCAGAGAAAGGGTCTTTTCCGAGTAAGTGTAAAACCAAAGTCAGAAGATTTTTTTCTTGAGGCTAAGTCATTTGGTGTTACGACAATGATTTCTGACCCCAATATATGGAAGTTGTACGATACCCATGATGGGGAGGACATGAAATTAGGCTTTTGGGACGAAGAAGAAGTTATTGTTGAAGATGAAGAGGTATAATAAAACAACCGATTGATTATATCTAAAACATAAGTGTGTGTGTGTGTGTATTAACGTAGTTTGTTTTTCATTTCAGGTCAAAATTCCCGATGAGATACCCTCGGCGAGCAGCTGTCTTGGTGGAAAACGCAAGCATGAGATTTATAAGGAAGCCGATGACCCTACTAAGAGGGATCTAGATGAGGAATTTGGCGCCACAAAAGAGCTCCTTAAAATGAAGGCCATTAAAACTGAGAAATAGAGAATGGGTCAAATTTTATCAATTTGAACATGCTTTAATTTATATTCGCGTAATCTTCCTAGCTATTGTTTTGTTTGAGACTCATATGTTTTTCAGACTTTTGAATGTTTTTGTTTTTTCAATTAAATGGTGTTGTGTGGTCTTTCCATGTTAAGATTGAAAAATGGATTTATGATTATATTTTATTAGTTCAATGTTTACGGTGAAGAGTACCATTCCATGGGATATTCTCCATGGATGATGCGTTTCATAGAATACAATTGAATCACCATGTAAACACGAGTCAGGTAGACGGAAGTTTCATGTTGAAAAAATTATTTTAAAAAAATACCTAAATGATTTCATTGAAAAATAAATTTAAAACGAATACCAAAATGCTTTTTTTGGAAACTGATATTTTTTTAAATAAAAATTAAAATAAAGATCCATTTGTGGAGAAACGAACACACAAACATCAGCCTAAGAGAGAGATCTTATTTCGATGGGTGAAATCAGAATTTCATTTGAAAAATCTCTTAAAAAGAAGTTATCTGAGAAACAAAATCCAATATTCACTTTTGAAAATGGACAAAAAGTTTAAAAATAAATGGGCTATTTACAGTATAGACTCTCTATACGAAAAAACACAGTTTAGAAGGGGATGTTTTTAAAGCAGAATAAGAATTTAGAGGTGAGCAAATTCTGGAACTCAGTTTTAAAAATTAGGATAAAACGTGTAATATTCCAAGGGAACACATAAAAATAATTAGGACAATTATATTAAGGTTCATTAAGAGATTTGTATATAGTAAGATTGTGCAGGATTATATTAACAGAACCTCTCTATTAGCAGAACAAGTTTGTGTCGTATACTAATATATACATTATACACACACACACATGTTTTGGTCATAAACTTACTTTTTAGGGTATGTTTTTATCTAATTTTTAAATTCTGCCAATTATGTATTATAAAGTGCCATATAAAAAATGTCAAATGAAGACACACACAGTTGGGCCATTAAATAATGAATAATCTGTTTTTAAATTTTATCTCAAGAAAAAATGTAATAAAATAATATAATTTATAAGATCCTATTTACAAAACACAAGAATATTGTCTCTTAATAATTTAATAAAACAACAGCTGAGTTCCATTTACAAAAATCCATGGGAACACACACATGGGATGCTACGTAATAATAGCCTCTTTGTATTATACATTTTTATATCATTTACAGTATATCATACCATAAACACATAATAGTTTGTTTATATATATGTGTGCACATATACATTTAAATATATATCTTTGTGTGTGTGTATATATATATATATATTCATACATACATACATACATACATTTGAGAGTATATATACACAAGCACTTTGCAGATTCAAAGTTGTGATGAAGTTAGTCTGCAAGTCTCATGTACGTAAAAAAACTTATATTCATAAATCTGTTGGTGTTTATACTTCTTATTTTTTAAAAAAGCATGTTTCCTAATTTATATTGCATTTTCTTCTGTAAGGTGAAGATACAGATGTTCTGTTAATCACAACAATATTACATCCTCGGATTCATGAAGAAGCTAACAAAAGGTGGGACTTTTAAAAGCAAGTTATCGAATGCTACATGTACAGATTCAGGGATAAACAGACAAGGTACCTATCTTGCTTTATGTTGGATAATTTTGATAAAACATTTGAGTACTGAGAAAATTTTAAAATTTATTTGTGTAGCATTGTAATTGAACTTAAAAAAGAGAGTCAATATGAAATGTTATAACATTTATAAATTTAGATTGTATCATACCTTTGGGTGGAAAATATTAAATATGTACTCTTCCATACATGTTTGAAGCCTGAAAGAATTAAACAAATTTAGTACAACATTAAAAACTGAATGTACACGGTGTAGTAAATATTTCGGACACTGATCGTAACCGATCAAACACTGCACTTTCCACTATAGATAAATGAGGTAGAAAAATTTAATTTCAATAAATCGATTATTAATTAAAATATGCATTCAACCCTTAAAAAATATCGTTATTTTTGTCTTTGTATTTTGACAGTGTATATATGTATGTATCTATATGTGT